GCTTAGATAAATTCTTGTCTAAAAATCGAAAATAATATAACTCTAGTATACCGGAAAATACAAAAATGAAAATGTTGCTTAGATAAATTCTTGTCAAAAAATCGAAAATAATATAACTCTAGTATGTCGGCAAATACAAAAGAGAAAATGTTGCGTAGATAAATAACGGTTGAACTTGGTATCAACGGTCAAAACGCTTCGATTTATCGAAATCGATCATAAATCGCGTGAATCGATTATTTTATAATATATAAACAAAAAATATAATTTTCATTGTAGATTATTTTGATTATGTATTTTATAGTCAATTATATTTATACATGAATTTACTTATTTCTTGAAAAATACCGATCGACCTTAAAAACCGATGATGAAAATGAGAAAGAGAATGAGAAAGAGAATGAGAAGAGGAATGAGAAAATGACAATAACAACTTACCCTGCCAACCTCACGCCGAGTACTAAACGGTTATGGTGGTTGCGATACACATCATTTCTCCCTATGCGCACGTCGGCGAAGTGCGCATCGCAATTCAAGTCACGCTATTAGCGCCACCTACTTAATTATTTATTCGAAATAAGTTTAGGGGCATTCAAAATATTTTTTTTACAATAAATCATATCATTTACAACAAGCAACTTCAACACTTATATTTACAATATACCTTCCAAGGTAAAGGAAAGAAAACTTATAAATTTCATTTAAATTAAAAGATAATTTTGTTGTAAAATTTCTATTTTATATAATGTTTATTATTTTATTTTAATATTCTTTCCAATAATATCTAATATGTTAAAATTTTGCAAAATTTAGAAATATTCAATATTCTTTCTTCATAATATTAGTTAATTTGGAATGGACTGATCTTATGAATTACATGTATGTATATTTACTTATATAAATAATCTCTCAAACAAATTTCATTTGTAAATTCAATTTTTATCAATATCTCAACAATTTATATTTTACATATAATATATTAACATTGACTTATATACCATATACAAAAATATAAATTATCTCTTTCCTTATATGTTGTTACAGCTTAAAAATTAATTCGCACACGACAATTACTTCATTATAATATATCAACATTACACAAATAGCATGATAACTGCATATATATGCTATATATATTCTCTGAATAAAAAACCCTGTTCAAATATAATATCTTCAAGGATTTACATTGAGTTTCGTTGGTTTTAAATTGTTATTACGAATAGGAGAACGAAAATCAAGTGACACTCTACTCGAAGCATTTTTAAGAACAATTGGAGAAAGTTCGGGTGGATTACTATAATAATGAAGTTTTTCTAAGCGCCTTTGCAAAGCTGCTGATCTAATCGAATTAGAATTTCGTGAGTCCGAGCGTGGATTAGAGCCTATTGAATTAGATATATTATTTGTGGTCAATGTCTCTTTGTTTGGGGTATTTTTATCAGGAGTAATGTACGAAGGTGTTCTTAAATTTGTTTTCTTTTGTACTTCTAATGAGATATTTTCTGCACATTTGGCAGCATAATTCGCATAGGGTATCTAAAAAAAATAAGAAGAATTATATTATTATTTTATCTACCAGAGAGATAAAATGACAAACCAAGAAAATTATATAAAAACAAAATAACATATTATTTACCTTGATTAAATCTTTAATATTTTCAAAAGCTTGGCGAAGATGATTATGCCGAGGATTACGCGTAAATACACTTCTATCTGTACAATATGCTATTGGTATATTCCAAGAAGTGGCACATCTCCATTCTAAATTGCTACAGGCTACAAGAGAACCTATAGTAAGAATTTCTGTATAACCAAATGTAGATACGCCTTGCCAAAATAAAATAGATAAATATGAAGATCCTGATGTATCATTTTCTTCCGGATTTTCATGTGATAATGGACATGCTATATTTACAGCATCAAAATTTTTCATACCCTTAAAAAAAAAGGAATATTACATCAATTAGATGTATTTTTAAACTAATTTAAATATAACAATAAATACACTTACATAAGGACAATTAATAATTGATGAAACGACCCCTATAGTATCGAATTCTCCATAAAGTGGATTAAACGAATTATCTGTTATACTCCGCAATGGAGTATATATACGAGATTGAGGAAAATCTTTACATTTTTCTTCTATATTGAATATTGTACTTCGAGATGCTGTAAGTTGAAGATCACCGGATCTGTAAAATATTATTAAATATAACAATAAAAAGAAAGGAAACTATATTTTTAATAAATACATACCGCTTGCCAGAAGCAATTACATTATGAATCGATATACGAGTTCCTTCTTTAAAAATATCGATGATATCTTCACTAGGAGCCCAAATTGTTAATATTGCACTAGTATTTTCTTCATTGATGCGAACTTTAAGAACCGATGAAACTTGACGAGGTGGTGGCATATTTTCACGTAACTTTGATTCTAATTCTTGCTTAAATTCCTCTACTACGCGACTTTGATTTACCATTTTTTTCTCTTGTCCATTCAAATCAATATCATCAGAATAAAAATTATCATTTCTAGCAGAATTAAATTTTTGTTCGGCTTCTGCATAAAACGCTTCTACTTTTAATCTATACTGTTCTTCGAAAGCGAGATTAGCCTTCTCTTCGCATCGACTGTTTCGAAAAACTGGAATAAGTTAATTTTTATATATATACACATATATATTATTTAAGTATTAAGATTAATTGTTGCAAAAATATGAAATTCTATCATACTAGATTCTCCAGAAGGATTTTTTTCATGATATAACATTGGATATGTTCTAGTAATCATAACTTTAAGTTTGCCAACTAAACCACCACTAGGGCACACATTTTTTAACTTAATTAGCATAGGTCCAGGACAATGTGTATACCCTAATTTAGTATCCCATTTAGTTCTTCTGGTTGAATTGGTATGAATTCTTAATGATACATCATATGGAATCTAATTAATAAGATAATAATATTAAAATAATATCAATCATATAAAAGAAAAATTTCATTAATTTTGTTACTATACATACTTCTAAAGGAGAGCAACCCTGATCAAGATTCAACAACTCTGCTCCAAATATCATTAATTTTGTACCTTCGCGTATTTTTCCAGATGATATGTAACTCATCATGGTTGTATCAATAAAAACAGGAATGCTATACCATCCATCTGTTAATATCATTTTCCAATAATTTATATTTGATACTATTGGACTAGATTCTCTATTTTTGTCATCTCTGGACTGTACGCAAAAATGAAAATACATTGACTAATTTTCGAAAGAAATATAATGAAATTTATTGTCTATTAATATATATTTACCTCAGTAATAGATGATACACATAAAACCATTCGTTTGGATGCACAATCATCTTTTTCCAATATCCTTCTTAAACATGACCTTTGCAATCTATCGATTTCACGATCGTAACGATATTTAAGTTGTAGCATAACGTTAGACGGTGTCAATGACCTATATTATAAATAAAGCTTTTAGTAATTTATAATAATATATTACAGTAATTAATTAAATATTTACCTTGGTATAATAATAAAATTAAATTTAATTCTATCCATAGATGCTAGTTTCCAAATAATCCATTTGTAATGATTTTCAATCCAATCTATAGGAATAAGACTCGGATCAACTCCTGGACTTGCTAGAAAGGATCGTTTAATCTCAAAAATTCCTATACAGTTATCCTTATCTGGTATAAGATAACCACCATCTTCCATCTCTAATCCACATGAATTATTGTAAATGAATTCTTCTCTATGTAAAATATAAATAATTAGTATTATATAAAACGAATGTTAAATAAGAAAATACTGAGAAGACTGTTCTTATGTTACCCATAAAAATCAATGCAGCGAAATTTGAATGATAAAGCTGTAGTAGATGTGATTGTTAATATTTCTGATGATATACCTCGATCGATAAGCTATAAAAAAAAAAAATTATTAAACAATTAATTAAGAATAGATGACATTTGTATATATTTTATTAATACCTCCTCGGGAGTGCATAGACTTGGTACGTCATTGCCTACAAGTTTTTTCCAAGATAAACGAGTATTATGATTTTCTTCTTTGTATAATAACAATTTGCCTTTAATAGCTTTAGGTCTATCGAGCTTTTTCCTTTTAATTATATTTTCCTAGGACAATAAATATATATATATAATCATAATGAATAAATATTTAAAAATTCAAATCTTAATTTACATTATGTTACTAACTTGTTCTGAGATAGCCTCAAGATGCTTTTGGAAAATATCTGTAACATTATTGATTGGTGGATCAATATTAGGCTTTAAATTTATTTCTTGCATCGATATAAGTTCCTTCTCAGAAGTATTATTGCATTTAACACTATCTTCATTTACATTACTGCTTATATCATCTTTAATCAATGATTTCAACTTCTGCTTTATGCTATGTTGTACATTCCTCTTTTTGCCCCTTTTTCGTGAAGTAGGTTGTCTTCCGATAATAGGACTAGACGGTACTTCCTTTTCACAATTATCTACCTGAGAAATCCATTCCATGGTTTGATCATTATCTCTTTCATCTGCTAAAAGTGCAGCTGTACTAGCCATTATTTCATTAGAAAAAGAATTAGTTTGGTTAATAGCTTCTGTATTATCATATAACTTTTGATTTTCTTTTTCATCGGTAATATCTTTGTCAGACAGTCTTACTTTCTTTGTATTAAATAATAATTTATCTGCAGTATTATCACACGTGTGCAGACTCTTTCGTTTATTTATTGATTTATTAAGCAAATTATTGCATTGATTAATATCGTAAGTATCATCTGAAAGAAAAAGTTCGGCTCTGTTCAATGCTTCATTAGAAATAATAACTTCACACCCTGCTGCGGTTGTAAATCCAATTTTTGACACTTTGTTTCTTCTTAAAGAAGATTCATTTAAATTTGTATTAATATTTTCTAAATCCTCTAGTGACTCAACTCGTTCTTTCAATTCATTTGTAACATTCTTATTAATTTGAATGTCATCTAATTGTCCAAACAGGATTTTCTTCGCATTGGATAATGTTTTATTGCAAATATTCAATGATCGACAACCTACTGTTACAAAAGAAGATGATAGATTTTTTATTTTATGACTATTACGTAAATTACTTTCATTGTTTAATTGAATATTCGTTAAGGATGTAACGTCATCTGTTTCAAGCAAAGATTTTGCTTTCGAAATAGCAGACTCTGATACATT